TACGTATAGCCTAAAATAGCAACACCGTTTCCGAGGCTTCAATCAACTTCAGTCACCTGAGGAAAAGGGGCCGTTCGGGTGGAGTAGGTGATTAAACTGGCATTATGAATAAGAGTTGTTCAATACTAGCTTTGTAGGACAGACTAATTGACAACTACAGGTGCTTGTTGTCGGGCGCAAGAGATGCTTTTTTCCACCTCACAATGCATTAAAGTATAAGAAAGGTTGAAGTTTCAGCCATTGCTCTCCACGCCCTAGCGGAGTGGAAACTCAGCTGGACTCAGCCTATACCGAAAACTATAAAAAGAGAGATTCAGTTGGGTTCCAGGTGAGTCTCTCGCAAAACCAAATTTATTTGTAAACGAGTGTAGTTCACTAATACAGAACGATGTTTTGCGCAGTGCCTGGCGATTCACACCCAATCCGTGTGTGTCGACCGAAGTGGTGGTCTGCCCATGTCAGCCGTCTGGTCAAACCTGATCAATAAACCGACTAACCAGACGTGTGATGCGTTGACTTCAGCCTAAAACCGCAGACGTAGGCGTTCCCTTTGACCAATAACGACGCTCCTGTAACTTCCTTGCTACGGTAGACGTCAGCTTGGCTTCTACTTTCTGAGATTTCAATTCCTCAGCTCGTGAAGCAGGTCAGCCGTTGGGATCGAAGCGTCGGGCAGCGGGATTCGGTAAATTGACGTTGTTTCTCTACCGTTATCTAACCAAACAAGTTGTTCCACACGCCGCTCACACTTACCTAATTCATTCGCACCGAATTCGGTGCGGATATTCTCCTTGAACTTTGGTCGATGCGTACCGGTCAGAGATCGTTCATGATTTGGCTTATTTTAGCCAAACCATGAAGAAAATGAACCCCACACTCAGTAGTATCCAACATGTTTGAGTGGTGTGCAGTTCGGAGTGTCGGGATTCGCCTGAAGTCACTTGTCAGAACCCGAATTACACGGTCACGTTTCCGCTGCTCACGAGTGAGAACAGCGTAATGGACGATATATGCTACCGTACTGAATGTTCATGATGACAGGGTTCCACACCATAAAATCAACCCTGGTTTGGGAAAAATATGCTAATGATATTTGTTCCACGCTGGACACTAGTGATTTTTTTTATTATTGAATACCTTTTTACATATTGTACAAAAGCACACAGCAAAACGGCATCCGGAGAAGAACTCAACGGTTTCTCGTAGCCAATCCTCGAAGAGTTTTCAGCAATATTACGAGTCATAACGAAAATCTTATGTGAATGAGAGTATCCGGTGAAACAAGCATCTGTTTTATAGACATGATATGCTGCTCACAAGGTTGCTGAAAATTCTTCGACAGCCCACGACCGGTTTCGCCCTTCTTGGGGCTCATCAGGTAGGCGCAGTTCGCGAATTTCCATCAACTTATGTTCTACTTGAACCCAAATTACACGAAACTAGAAAAATACATCCGTACGAATATCGTTTTGGTTACCATGTATCGTTGTGTATTCAAGCTGATGGTATCCAAGGGAGGCAGTGAGCATGCAGTGACAACCAAATACGTATGTGTATGTACACGTCGTTTATGTCGTGACAATCACTTGTTGTTATAGTGGATATCAGTTCAATATCTTCTGATCAGGTGTACTCGGGAAGCATGTGAGGAAGCCATTTATGGATAAGGCGTTTCCAAATGATCGAGTTAGACTGTAGTCGAATTCTTCCGATTTAATGGCACATTAAAAACAGTTATGAGTTATTTGAGGAACATAGTTGGTCGAAAACCTAAGAAAGTGGTCAAAATCACTACTTGTTTTTTGGGTGGACTTCTTTCTGAAAATCCGTCTGGTAATGTTCATATCCTATTTCATTGGAGAGGTGGGAAGGATGGAACGAATTTGCCGAGGGAAACAAGTATTAGCAGGAGGAAGCTACTTTTTATTGAACGTGATCATATTCAGCGGCGACCATACCATATTGGAAACAACGGTTCTCGTCTGATCACCAAAGTTAAGCAACGTTGAGCCCAGTTGGTTCGTGCATGGGTGACCGGCTGGGAATACCGGGTGTTGCGGCCCTGGTAAAACCATTTAAGTATGTTTAAATCAGTCTCGAAGAGACTGGACCTTATCGTGGTGTGGCGGTTTGTGTACCTCGGCGACCCATTGAGATATACTGGGGGGTGTCCGCGCGACAGAGTCTCTCATAGAGTCTCACAGAGTCTCTCATACCAGGTAAGTCAACGGTTAGAGGTCTCCTGGCCCTCCAGGTTGTGGTTTGGAACATGTGGCGATTTGTTCCGTAGAAATGGTAATGCAGTTGCATTTCCCGCCAAACACCGCTGCCTTGCGGTTAGGCTTTTGAGCCAAAGGCTTTGGTTGAGGACCCTTGTCGTCCTCCTGTCTAGGTTCGGGCGCCCTGGCAGTATCCCAGCCCTCGTGCAACCACACAACTAACACTACTCTCACGCCACATCGGTCACTATTTAAAAACAGCCTTGCTAGTGAGATTACTAAGAAACACGCCTTGTTTTCATTTAGATAGATAATAATCGTTCAGCTGTAACACCGTTCGGCGGCTAGCTGCCACGCCATCCGAGGGAAGCACGAGGGCTGGGTTAATGCCAGGTCTAGACAGAGGAAGTCGAGAGGCGGTGGTCGGGTTCGAACCACGGACCTTCGGTCAGTAAATTTGCCCTCTAACCACTACTGAGCCATCATTTAATGACTCACTGAATTGTATTCTTAGTGGTCTTACATGTAGGCTATCCGATTCCGGGTTCCAAGTTATAGAGGAGGAATAAAACTCATACCTTCATTTACTGTCTTTAGATGCTTTGTTAAACGAAAGCCGAACCGCATCTTCTTTAGGGTTCTGAGCGAGTGGATTTCTGAAGGATAAGTTTGGCGAATGAAATGTTTTCAGCAGCCTTTGACTCAAGTCACGAAGTGGACTGCAGATAGCGACTTGTGTTCTGGTTGTGAACGATCGTTGGTACGCAGCTTCATGTGCCTCCTCGGCATGAAGCCACGTCACAGAGGGAAAAATCATCGTTGACATAAATGGCTTGAATCAGTAATGAATCTACCCATCAACGGTGATCATACTACCGACTGATTTAGTACAGTGAGACGAATGCGATGCTGCATGCAAGCCCATGGCGCTGACGTAGACCCCAGAGAAAAGAACGGTTGGCGAATATTCGTAACGTACTACTCACAAGGTTGCGGGAAATTCTTCTTCAGCAACCTTATCAGCTGTGCATTACGAATATACATGTATCGCGTTATCTCGAATATCGTAGCAGCTGCAACATGAAGCGGCCTGGTGCAGCACATTCAGTTGCCTGGAAACATCACAAATGAGATATTCGGCTAGGTTCCAGGTCCCTTGCAAAACCAAATTTGTTTGCTGAGTGTATTTCGCTAATGGTTGGCGGACTTGTAGGGGCCTGTTACAAGACACCGGACGGCCTAAACCAGACGGCGTAACAACGAGTACCGAAACCACCCGTCAACTTCTTTAAGTTTCGGTGTGATGCTGCGCCTACCACGCGATGGTGTTAATGTCTAAACTGCGCTATTCCGTTGACCGTCCTCGCAATAATGTCATCCTCAGATATGTGCTCATTAGAAAATGGAACATACATGCCAAGTGTTTGGTGTAAGCAAGTGTACCGGTGAGTACGCCCTCGTTCTACAGAGCTAATCCTACTAAGGTGTGTTGATCAGGTCAGTGATCTTTGGGACTGCATTAGGGAGACTGACACCGTTCCGCATAGCTCACATGCTTCACAGCATTGTGATGCGTCGCTCAACAGGCCCTCTCATGCCTGCTTGGATAGCTGATCTTCATGCCATTCTGTCGGGTACCAAATGAGTACCAAACTTCATGCCATTCTGTCGGGTACCAAATGAAAACCACAGTTTGTCTAACTTGCCTAGAGGCATTCCAACCAGTGGATCTTCTGGCGTAGCCTATTTCGAACTCCAAGCTACAGCTGACCCTGGGAAAGCTGTTTTAGGATGAGTTTCGGCTATTCCTTTCAAATCGCCCAACCACCACACTCGGTTTTCGCATCAGACTGCAGCGAATTCCAATAGTGTTTTCCCTTCGAACTATTTTCGTGTTCTGGATTCTGTTTGCTCACATAATTCGGAGCGCTCTGCACAGACAGCGCTAGTGAGATTGCTCAAAACCTCGGGCATGTGGTTCGCATAGCGTCCAACTCTCGCTTTCGCACAGCAGGGAAGACGTTTCAACAACCTGATATACTATATATAGTCTTGGTGTCTATTTCGGGGTGATGCTTGCTTCACTCGCTTTTCTCAGGACAGTTCATTTGACCATCGAGTGCCGGACCTTTGGATAGCGTAGTGCCAATGCTACGCTGAAGTGTTACAACTACTAGCCAGGAGGTCGCGGATTTCATGAGATGCCTACTGCTGATTATTCCCAATAGGGATGAGACCGCTATACAGTGCTTTTCGGCTTTTCAGCATATATTGGCTTCTTCATAGGACGAAATATCTATCAATTGGGAGACTTTATTTGCATGTAAATCAGTCCACTCCGCTTACAGAGCAACATTCTCTAATGAACAAGAAAGCATCAGGCGACACATCTAATCGATGTGGCCATCAGCTGCCTAAGAATTCAATGCCAACTACTGTAATCTACGCTCTTATTCCTCCATTTTATCGAGTCCAACAGTCCAGAAAGTCAGTCTCTCAACATGAGAGTGGGATTCTGAAGGCTTATAGAAAGTGATCGATGTTGAAAAATGTTCGATCGACTGGATGAACATCCGTAAGCTGCAGTCTTTTTCAATTGGTTGGTACTCGTGTTACTCAAATGGTATTACAGTGGTTCGAGGTCATCGAACGCAAACGACAGCGGTGCTTGGGATCAATTCAACCTGACAGGAGAATACGATAGCCTAACTGGATCAACTCGTCCTCTTTGGGTGTTCAGCTGCAACCCATCACCTAGTAATCAATGAGTCAGGTTCATCGAAATAACTGATAATATATGGTTATAAGTGGAGAGGTAATTCACAGAAAATTAAAGGCGAACAAGTAGCCCCGGAGTGTTGGGACAATCACGAACAACCGAGAGAAAAACGATGTCTCGATAAATCAGTCGTCGCCAAGGTTAAACTCACAACAATATAAACAGAAAGAATAACACAATGTGGGTCCATTCTAACAAGATAATAAATGTACAACCAGCCCATCGCCTTTCAAGCAGCCGACCCTGGCATGCAGGTCAGGGGCACAAGTGATAACGATAACTACAATTCAGCACAGGCTGGCATTCAAAAAGGCGGCTAAGTGATCACAGGGACTATTAAATTACCCAAAAATTATGCTTTTTATACGAAAGCCATAGGATGCAATAGTCCACGTAAATATACAGAGGGACTAGCCATAAAGAGGTGGCAGTAAATGAATAATGACGTAGTTACATGCACGAGTGCGGTGAGATAAAGACTCGTAGCTGTACAGAAAGAACAAGGCATCAGCTGACATAACAAAATGTGAAGTGCGACAGAACCTGCTGTGGCATCGGATCACAGAAGTATTAGTGGCAGGATTGGATATCCACAAGCCATGACAAAAGGTGGGTTTTGTAGGGGGCCTGAGGTAGTGGCAAAGCCAGTTGGTGTGAAGAATCTCACCTCCGAGAGGCCGTGAACTGAGGTGAGCTAATGGAAGATCGGTTTGAATAAGGGGATCGATTCTGATTGTGGTGTGCGACAGAGGAGAAAGTTAGGCCGCGTGCCCCACGGGTCCCTCCGCTTGCAGCTCCCGTCAGTTCATGTGTGCCCTGAGTCACAGCAATGATCATGACAGCAACACAGGTAGGTCGGGAAAACAAATTTGGTGAGGAGCGTGAAGGTTGTCGAAAATGGATGGTCACATGATGTTCGCGTCCCACATGAGCATTCCAATGTAGTGGAAATAGAGTGGTAGCAAATAATGTACGACCAAGCGGTTTTTGCACCGTTACTTGATCCAAACAAACCCTCTCCACGAGACAAGGGCCTTCGTCATCCATCCAAGTTTCGTAACATGCCGGTGGAACGACACGCCCATGAACTAAGAGGAGAATGGGAGCAACCGATTGGAGCCACGATTTGCTGACATTCGGTTTAATTGTATGGGTGCTCATTGGCCAAGTGAACGACACGGTTACAGAACCCGCTCGGATATTGATCCACTGACAGGGAGAAACCAGTGCCACTTGTTTTAGCCCGGCCCGGACAAGCCAATTTCGGACCAATCTTGTTACACTGACTGAAAGACGTGCGTGGTGGGCGGCAACCAGATCGTGGAGCCGACGTAAACTATCCACTGAGGGCAAATCATCCGAAGCATCCAAAGGGTTCGTATAAGTGGTTTGGGATGAGGAAGCGTGTGATGCGGAAACAGGAGTTGGGGAACCAAGCGTCGCACTTAAGAGAAGTGTCTTCGGTAGAACGGGTAGCTCCACATTAGGAGGTGGCTCTGGCGTGGGTACGGACGGGAGTAGACTGTCGGGAGATCTTAACTTGTCTTGTAATTCAGCAGCTGCAACAGACAATTTGGTGGACTGATTGGTGGATGATGCACGGGTATTGAGCATTTTCATGATGAACGACAGTGCAGTTGTGCCGCTCTCCACCTAAAAATGTGAAGAAAAAGGCCGATTCACTCGCCAAGGAGTTTCAAGAGTGTGTTTTGTAAGATCGAAAAGTTTTATTTTAGAAAAATAGGACTCCGCTTGACTGGAGGTAGCAGCGGTACAAAGTATACTGTTCTGACCTGAATTGAGCCAAGATGCCGAACGGTATTGCATAAAATACCAAAGGACAAACAAGCATGGACCGATCATCTTGTTTGGCAAAACTCCTCTACTATGCTTCTGGGTAGTAAGCACCATCGATCAGTGCCGTCGAACTTGTGCTTACGGTCGTCAGAGAGAGGGAGGGAGAACAGACCTGTTCTAATAGCACTGGGTGCATTGTTTCTCCGAAAGCAAAACACAGACGTAAATTCTACTTAAAAAGGCGCTATCTTCCTTAGCATGAGCAGGTGAGAGGAAGTCAACATTGCCGCCTAAGCTGCCAATACCTTACATATAGGACATTTACGTGATTCACCACTCCGAATCCATAGATTTGGTCTTATGTTCAAGCAGCTATACGCACCTAAAAAGCCTTCTGGCTTTGCAAGCTACCATTACAAGGGACATTTTGACATTAAGATCCGTCCTCCCCCGTGGGTTCGGTTTCATTCGGATAGCAAATCATTGGACGAATCGTTCATGATGGCAGCCCTCTGACAGCCAGATGTTTTGACTTCGATTATGTCCTGGTTAAAATCTTGTTAAGCAGTTCTTTCTACAATCATTCAAATGCAGTAAGCTGTTCTGATACAAGCCACTATCGATTAGTTCAGGTTATTCTAATTGCCGAGGAGGAAAGGAGAGGACAGGGATATCCAAATGAAACTGTGAAAACTGTCATTCAAAGACATCAATATAAATAAAAAACAAGGAGAAACAGAAAGTCAGTAGATCAAAGTCGAAATATAGTCCTACGCAAACAGACTGAATGCCTGGATCCGGTCAATAGTGAGTGATTAACATGAACTCACCGAATGCGAACAGGGTGGGGTTCATGTTGTGTGACAAGATTGCGAACGAAACGAAACTAGCCTAAAATAATTAAACAGAATACCTCGAGACGTATTGTAGCCGCTCATCGTTGCAATAATGGAGAGGTAGGGTACCAATGCATGGGCCAAGATTTAGCTCGCGGGAAAAAGCTGATTCAGTGGTACAGCGATGATTACTACACACGGGAACATGTGATTGCATCCTGGAATGCCCTACCACACGAGCACTTTCGCTGATCCTAGAAGGGTCGGGTGGAAGTAGAGGAATCGGTTGAATTATTAGTTCCAAGCTGACCGGTTTGTGTAGCCGGTGGGCTTTGTTGGAGGTAACACCTGTTGTTCAGTCGGCTGTTGACTAACTCAGAATCTGACTACTGGTGAACAGTTAAACTGATCAACCTAGAAATTAAACGTACCTCGCGAAAGATTCGATAATTACTCATCAAAGGGTTCGGAATGTTATTTTTCGCAACGAATTCCGTGCCGATGACATGGCGAAATTCGATCACCAAATGGCTGAAGAAACCTATTTGTTCAGTAGTAGTCAGAATTTTGAAAGGAGCAAGGTCGCTCAGTGGTTAAAGCGCGAAAATACTGACCGGGAGATCCTTGGTTCGAACCCGACCTCTGCCTCTCGAATTCCCCTGTCTAGGCTTGGGCAACCTGGCAGTATTCCAGTCCTTGTGCCCCCGAAAGGGTCCTGCAGCTGAACGATGAACGATTTGAACTTTAAAAAATCGCTCAGCTGTAGCACCCTTTCGGTGCCTAGCTGCCAAAGAAGAGGGAGGCACGAGTGTTGAGACACTGCAAGGACGCCCAAGCCTAGGAGGAGCAAGCTAGATGCTGAAGTTTGTTTCGAACCACGGAAATTCCGCTCGATACGCTGGCGCCTTAATCACTTGGCTGTCTCGAGCTTGATAGGTTAAGAGTTGGAGAAATCAGCGAACACGCCTGAACTAACCGCACCTTGTCACGATCACAGAGTTGCCCGACCTTCCTTGAATGATACGAAGGGTCACAAGAACATCCATTAACATTGTTGAATCAACTATTTACACATGATAATGCGAAAACTCAATCCAGAAGACTAGTCCCGCGTTTCGCTACCAGTAGTCCCATCAATATGTTGTTTCATTGCACACCATTCGCAGGCTAGAAGACAGAGGAAGGAGGTATCGTGAACTTACCTGATAGAAATTTGACCCAGCAAGGATTAACATGGTGGC